GGCACCCACTGAAAGGCTGGTCCAGAGGCAATAAAGCACGAGCCAACAACTATCCCTACGGGGAAGTATAAAATCAACACCAAGTACACTTGGGATAAAATAGATACATAGTTTATTCAGATATTAGCTTCTGAACCCTTTTACCTGATTAAACCTGTGGTCATCTTTGCATGAAGTCAAGATAGTGGCTTTGATTGCTGACAGTTTTCCTGACAGCATATAGCCAGGGCGTCCATGCCTACTGTGCATCTTTAGTATGGCTGAGTAAAGCACTTGTTCATTTGCAGTGAAGGGAAACATGAAACAGGCCTGAGCCTTCTGATGGACAGGGAGATTTCACCTTCGCCAGTGAATGATAATGCATTATTAAATTTGCCTCTCTGCTCACTAGATACACTTAGCTGACCACAGCATATTTATCTCCCCATCCGAGGTTCACGTCTTGGCAGGAGAAAGCATTCTGTCACTTTTGAGGCATTTCAAAGATTAAAAAGAACCTCTCTCTTTTCAACGTCCCTAAAAGCATCACCCTCCTCTCCCCCCGCCACCTCCACCTTTTCTCAGTGAAATGTGATTAGCAGGAGATGGTGTCACGCAATGGAACATTCATGAGGGGAGAACAAATATCCAAATGAACTCTGGTGTCCTGGAGGAATAGCCCTTCTCTGCACCATCAGCACTCTCTCTGCACACGCGCTGGGCCAGGAAGGGGGGCTAAGGAAATTTGATTGATCCTGTATTGAATTATTTTTTTGCACTCTTTCATTTCGACGGGACGCACTGACAAGTTGTTTGATCATAAAGCATTATTGTCTGCCAAGTCACATTTGAGGCTTGTGATGGCTAATGATCTCGCCTCCTGAGTTGAGAGGGGAAAGTCAGGTAGTCAGCAATGTGTTTGAAGAACAGGGAATGCCAAGGACACTGGGAGGACCGAACAAAACGTAAGGCATTAAAGTCAAGAAGATGAAGGGAAAAGGCGTGCACCTTACAACTTTTAATGATAGTGTATCGAGAAATGCTTAAAAGAGCATAACCCTCAAACTTTAGCTGAGACAAAGTTGTAGCGCTAGCTTTTTGTTTGATGCATTTTTGAAGATGAAAAACCAAAAATATAAATATATCAAGGCTTCATGTCCTTAATGTATACTATAGGGGATACTGCAGCGTGATTGTTGGTACTGATTTGTTCTCCGCTGTTGTGTCATGTGAGAAGCACTTCCTCCTCCTTGCCGTGAGTGTTGAAAGAAAAATGGTTGTGATAGTGGTTTTGAAGTGATTGAGTCAGATTCAAACAACAGATGAAAAACATAAAGAGGTAATGCAGACCATCTATCTATTCCTTAAATCAGTGGTTCTAAATGTCTGAGATTGACAGGGGGTTGTATCTTTTGTTTAGAATGGGGGGGGGCATACTAAACAAAAGATACAGTACTACCCCCATTTTGAATCACGCGTAACATATTTAATGATTTTTCTGTAAAATGTTGGTTAAAATAAAAAACAGTAATTGTGATATAATTACTGCTAAATGTCTTATTTGATTGTTATATGGACAATCTTTAAGGCCCTCTCTGCAGTGCCTCAGAGTCCTCCCAGACCCAGATTGCCCCAGACCCCACTTTAGGAAGCACTGCCTTATCTTTCCAGCTCTTTTAGAGAAGCCTACTGCAGTTAAATGTTCTCACATCAGTAAGTACAGGTCCTTGCCCAAAGCAGATGTATGTTAATAGACTGTGACACTCTGCTACCTGGACATTTAATCATTCGGACTGGGATTACAGATAGAGCACCAGCCTTAAGCAGATCACAGCCTTTATCTGCTTCCTGGCAAAGAAAGAAAAGTGATATGAAAATGAAGCAAGAAAAAAATGTGAGAGAAAGGAAATGGTTGGTTGTGGTCATCAAGTACTGGATGCATATGAGAAGATTGCTCTGTTTATAGCAGGTATAAAATGGTGCACCTCTAGGTGACATAATACACCACAAGCTTCCATTTGTGCAAGAGCGGACATTACCAGTGCATCTCCTGTTGTGTCAACACACAGATATAACGTTTACCGGGGAAGTGCCAATATCACATTACCAGTGAATCACCCGCTTTTAAAATATGATTTACAGAATCAGTTTACATATAGTTGTCTGCGCCTCACTCCTGTTCATATTCCATTGAACGGTATGGCATAGTAAACTCCAGCGAGCAAAGGAAAGTGGTCATTTTAGTTGTTAAAAACTTAAAATGCCACATGGTATTTACAAACCACTTGGATGTGGATGCATATGGCTTCTGTTTCAAATACCTTCTCCCTGAGGAAATAAAATGATGTCAAGTGTTTGATGTCCAAAATAAGTCTGCAGCCAAAGGCACGTTTCCCCTTGTTTGTCAGCTACCTGCTGTTTCATGAGACAGAGGCTTGTCGGAAGCTCTCGCAGCACACTTTTTTTGTTTGAACCAATTCAATTAGTCACATGTGAGATAACACTTAGCTTTCCGCTAGTCTTTTTTCCTCAAACATCATCTAATCTTTTTTCCCCTATCTTTCTTTTGCTGACAGATTTTGGACAAAAAATAATCAAGTTCAAACAACAACCCCCCAAAACTACCATCTGGTTAAGCTGCACTGGTGACACAAGTTTGGAAAGAGGCTTTTCATGGACAACAAACAGTCTTTGTCCTTGATCGCAGTGAGGACATGAAACAGACGTGTGTTATAGCGGCCATCACTGAGGTGTCGCTCTATTTAAAGCGGCTCCATATGAGCACAGGGCATCCTTCCTCTGAGTCTTCTAAGAGCGCACTACGAGAGATTAATTTAATGCTCTGCCAGAATCATAAAGATCAAACAAGTGAAGAGCTACCATTAAACCATTGCAATGTGATCTCATTTATCTAAACAAACTGATGCCACGAACAAGCCTAATTAAAAAGCTTGTCATAAACACAGCTTCGCATGGCCAAGCCGAGTCCTTCTATAACAACAATGGAAGACGTTTATTTTATTAATCTAATGCATCATGTATCATATCATTACAGTTCAATATATCTATCATTAATTTTATTCCCTTCACTTAAAGCTTTTATTGGAATTACTTTGGATATTAGTTGTTTCTAATGTATTGGTTACCTCTGAATTGAGCCTAGCTACAATCTCTCTTATCTCGCCGCATAAACCTGTGCATGTTATTCAAATTGCCTCATTTATTATGATAGCTTCCTCATGTAAATTGTGCTGACTGCTCGCCCTTGCACAGTCCTCATTAGACTAATGAAAACCTTCAAACGAAAAAACTAAACAACCTGCCAAATAAAGGTCTGGGGTTATTATGAAAATTACAACTGTGGGAGCCGGGAGAAGCTCTCTTCATTAATTCATGCTCAGCAAATTGGTAACTAATTTAGTTGCACTCCTCTGCATTAATGGGTTATTTTATAAAAATGTTTTCTGCAGCCCAAGACCCCTGGTGCACCGCTGAGAGCTCAGAATCCTAATCAAGTCCAGTGACATATTAGGAATTGACAATCTAAAAGATAATATGGCGCGTGTTTGCCGATGGATGTGTGTAGGTCAACAAGGCAGAATTGGTGTGGATTGCCGGGTCATTTACTTTCTCCTTCAATATCGCAAAGAAATTACAATCCATTTGTGCTGATTATCTTACTGTGGAAGAGCCACTTTTGCTGGAATATGGAGAATTTCAGCTCATTTGGCAAGTAGACACTGGTGTTTGCTTTGTCTCTCCCCCTCCTCCCTCCCAGACAGACAGTTTGTGACCCATGAATTCAGCTTGTGATCTTGCTAATTATGACTATTCACTACTTCACACCCAGTAAGTGAAGGTCCAACACGGATCTTCACGTCAGCGCCGCCAACAGGGAGCTCACAGCCCACTGATTTCCATAGTGGCTTTAATATCATTATCAGCCGCACTCCTCGTGGTCTCACCCACAGCCTCGCCTCCAACCAACAGAGAATACTCAAATCTGTTATTTGCTTCATTTTGTAGTTAATCCACCATGCTTGGATATGATTTAGATCCGTTTCTGTCGTTCTCATTTGTTTTACAAGCGCAGCAAAATGATAATCAAATAATGCAAGCAATTAATATTAGATTAGTTTGTGCTAGACACGCAGGTTTAAGGATCAGCATGTTTGACCTCAGTTTGGTCCAGCAAATGGAAGTATAGGCTTTACTAGGCACAAATTATTACTTCTGTTCAAATGTTTTTGCATGTTAAACTAAAAGATTCATGCACTTAATCAAATGTAATGAATCATGTTCTCTGAACAATACATGATAAAGTTTAGTTTTTTTTTTTATCAAGACAACACAAAACCCTAGATAAAATATCTCAGAAAAAAACATAATTATCCAGATTAAAACAAACAAAGGCTTGGTATATTGAGTCTAAATAATTGAATTGTTGAATCACAGTAACTATGGAACAATATTCGAAGTTTTTGAGTTACAGCTGTTATGTTTAAATTGTGCTATGCAAATACATTTTCCAAGCATTACCAAGCCTGCATTAAGAGCATGTAGGTTGGCCTTCTCGGCACGTTATAAAATAACTTTGTATTACATTTATTTAGAAAGGACTCATTAAAAACTGTCTGATTATCCGACATCTGACATTCGCACAAAAACTGAACTCAAAAAGAATATTTTGAACTATTTTGCATCTGGACTTTTTATTCTAAAACTTTGGCCTAATTGGACACTCTGGAGCCTTTTTCATTTTAATAATTTGATTTTACTATGTGTAGAATGTTGTGTGTTATCTGCAGGGAGCCTGCAGTCTAGTCTCAATGATAAAAAATAAAGAGTAATTAATACAACATAATCAGAAGTCTAAAATGTAGAAAACGTTATTGGATACACTCTTATTCTTGTATCTTACATTAAATTGTATCTTCCTGGGTTTGGATCCTCGGAACGTCTGATTCATTCTTGAACTAAATTGTAATCATAGATTTTTTTATTTCTTTGTAAATCCTCACCTTTGTCGGCGTGCATCCTCTTTAACTCATGGCTCATGTCGTGTGCCAGGTCCCCCTCTTTGGGACCAGGGGGGATGTTGGGGGACAGACCGAGTAGAGCGTGGTTCATGGACAGACCATTGTGATGTGCTGTCGTGACAGGCAGAACAAACACACGTTTTAGCAACAAACCACACACACAAACAACAATAAAAAAGTTGCGCCGGAGTGTGTGTTGTCTCTCACTGTGTCTCTGTGATTTGAGCTCATATATGGACGTACGTATCCTATCTGAGGAGCTTTCTGTGTGGGCCGGGGAGCTGGACACGCTGCTGCTGCGGTGGGACGAGGGCTGGCTCCCGGGCCTCCGATGGTCCTCTAAAGACGGGGCCGGAGACGGGCTATCCTGGACGCGCTCCTGCAGCCCCTGGAACACCCGTAGCACACAAACAAAATAAATATCCACCAGACCAGACAAAACAAGGCTGAAACATCCAGGATATTACTTCTCTGTGTATTAAAATTTACCTTTATGACCGAGGTGACCATTCTGGAGGGCAGACTCTGGCCCTGCGCTGCGGCGGCCATGTTTGCGATGGTGCTGAGGTGGTTCATCTGACTCATTGCCATGGTGACGGAGGCGGGGGGCAGGCTGACGGGGATCAGGGGGTGGGGCATCATCATGAAGGGGAGTTCCAGGCCTGAAACACATAAAGAGGTAGTTGGTTACTCAATGAAGCGTATTAAGAGCAGTACTCAGAGCGGAAACTTGAGTGGAAAAGTCAGCACATTCATCAGTATTCCTGCCACACTCATACCCTTTAAACTCCCCATCCAATAACACTAAAGCTTTGTACTGCCACCCATTAGCCCCAAAATTGAATAATTTAAATTGATTGCTTCTCTGGTATCTTTCTACGCTAACATAATACATATTAATGTTTCACAGCGTATGTGAATAATAGATATTATTGCAATAATTAGTTTTTGTAAATGGAAATTATGATAACTTCTAAAACACAGTGATTTGAAGTTTACACAGCAATAAAGAAACATGAATTATTTGATATGAATAAAAAAGGGCACATTACATAAATTGTCTCAATATTTGTAAAGACTCAGTGAGAGCAAAGACGTCTTGGAGACCATTATCCAAAAGACTACAGTATGTGCTAATGACACAAGCAGACTTCAGTACTTCAGGCTAAATATAGCAGCGCTCGGACAAGACTCACAATAATGAGCTTTTGACTTGTTCTTTATTCACACAAATTATTATACAATTACATTAGTCATTTCTTACAAATGTTTTAAATTATTCAATTATAGTCAGTCTTTGCATGCTTAATGGGGGAAATTAAAGACATCCACTGTGGACTTTTAAAGAACACACAAGATACGATTCATTTCCACAAACGGAGAGTGGCGTGGACAATTTCTGTGTTTACAGTAGCATAAGGTATCTGACCCAAACTGGCTCTAATACTCACATTCCATTCAATAACTCTTCTAACTGTATCTGTCAATACAAATGAAGAATTCAACTTGTGTATAAAAAAGTGAATCAGAAGTTTTATCTGGTATGAAACACCAAAATGCCTTTTTTTCCCCATATCTTCAGAATAGAATCTCCTCGTGATTCATGTAAAGTACTTAAATAGTTTTGTAAAAGTAGAATCGTACAAGACACCATCGGCTGATTAATCGACTAAACGGCTGGAGACAAAAACTTTCAAAGACACCTCAGGTTAGTCGTTTTTGGCGGTTTAATGAAAACAAGGCAACTTTAAAGGACACAAGTGTAGACAGAAGGTCAGAGCTAGGTGTCTGGACCCCCCCTGCCTGACAGTCCCCCTACCAGCGCCTCCTCTTCTCCCTCTGCTCTTTAGGGACTTTGAACTAGCAGGATCAAAAGTGACTGGGAACAGTTTGGTCTCATTCCTGCATGCTTCGCTTGAAAGAAAACCCCACACACACTATTGGATCTGATTGAGCTTGTCTGTTGATTTTTTCACTCACTTTTCCCTCTATTCTTTCTCTTGGCAGGTCTGTTCAAGGTACAAAAAAAAAGGAAGAAAGGCAAATACTGTGACAGAAATCCACCAAACAAGTCCACTCCTCTCTTGTGAGAAAACATCAGTAGCCAAAGGGCAAGGGGATCTGCATGGCACCGCCTCTAAAGAGAAGGACACTGGTGGGGAATGAAAGGACATAAGAAGTACTCCTCTCCATCTAACCAAAAAAAGAATCATTGATTTCCATAAGAAAGATGGCATGCAGTTTCTCTGTGACGACTATCCCCAAACAATATAAAGGCAAAGGAGGGAGATTAAAGAGAAGCGGAGGCCAAAGCACCACCTTGTATCAGTGGCGCGGCTGTAGCTCGGGTCTGAATCAATTACCACTCAGCGGGCTAAGCTCAATTAAAAAACACCACGGAGGGCTTGATTGCGGGGGTACTTATGGTAGGACAACATGGAGAGGCCTGGGCTACCTATCAGGCTTTCAAGGCCACTCAAGGACCCGCGTGAAGACACTTTTCTCTGTTTTTCAGGTGGAACCATTACACCCATTCAATCAGCGGCTGCATGAATAAGACACACTGACTTTAAGAAGCAAAGGACAGAAAATATGTGATTTTTTTTTAGGTCCATATGAGGGATACTGCACCTGACAGACAGTGCATTGGAATAAAACAGCAGCAGCTCTGTTCGCTCCCTGAGAGGTATTAGTCTCGCTTTCGGTGCTTGTCCGGCCTCTTTCATGTCACCCCGTCTTAAGCGCTGTTCCTCCAATAAAAGCCCATTGAGAGGGCTGCAGGAGAATGTGCCACAGGCTAACAAGTGTCCCACCAAATCCAAGCTCCTTACATCTGAGAGGCGTCAGGTGAGAAGGATGTTGCTTCTGTCAGGTTCAGGACGGTGTGAGAGACAGGTTTTATGGCAGTGAACAAAGAAAAGGTTATCATTGAACAAAAGAAAAGAGAAAAAAGAAAAAAGGTATGGAGTACAGAACTCTACGTGCTGCATTGCCTATGCTTCACTTTTTCATCCTCTAGCTCAGATGTCAATTATCACCAATAAAGCAGTATATTTTAAAATGGCTGTATCAGGACATGCATGTAATGATGTAGGATTTGTTGTTAAAATGTGTTCCCGTCATAGTAAAAATACTGCATTAGGCTTTTATCAAGCTTTAGGCTCTTGCTTCAGAACTAGTTTAATACCATGTTTTTTGTTGGTGAATGTGTGTATGCTCTCTTAAACTGAAAGACAAATGTATCTACAGGAAACCTGAACCTGTTTAGTTGATCAGTTGGTCGGCAAAAAAGGAATCATGACAAAATCTCAAAACTATACTATGCTCTTTACAAAACACATCCAGAAAACGGTGTGGCTATCAATTAATACTATTATTTCTTTTCTACCTTGAAACCAAAATAAACCCCAAATATTCTGCTAACTTGTTCCATATCTTGTTGTTGTTTTCTCATAAATCTTAATCACTTATATAAATATTGACCGATTAATCAACCAAAGAGTAACAGCCCTAATACATTGTAAAAAACATAATTTATGATGATATTTATTGCAAAATATGCATGTTGAAGGAAAGCAACTGAATTAGCATACTACCAGCAGCACACACCAGCTGCAACAGAAGTCAAATTGAGTAGCTGCGCTTTAAGCTAAGAGTAACAGCGGCACGAGTCATTAATCACCCGATATTGTGTAGATATTCCAGTGGGCAAAGCTCCTGAAACATATTTGTCAGTTTCTGTTTATCTCTAATATGGAAGTTTCCACCTGATGCGAGGTGAATTCCCTGCAGCCTGCGCTCTCCCTCTCTCCTGAAGGGCATAAACAACGCATTTGGAGTAATTTACCTGAAGTAAGCCTGAGGGACTCGCAAAGGTGAACTCCTATTTACCATCATTAAAACTACAAATCACTTAATACCAATATAAACAGCTCAGCTATTATGCTGCGCACTGCTCGGGACTTTACGCATGGATAAGCAAAGATTTGAATCGCGGAGGATGGATTGAATGAATTAAAACAGCCCTCGGTAACAACGTGATTAAAAAGCTGTTACATCAGTGGTTAACAGTAGGTAGCTAAAGGTCTCATACTTGGGAAAAATGATAAAAGCTAGAGTGATTTATTTGCACGACAAAAATGAAAGGCTGCAGTGATTTGTACCGCACTTTATCTTCATCTAAACAGGCTATTCTGGCCATCGCACCCTTTAGAGGAAAAAAAGGGTACTAAGCCACTCATTGAGAATAGTATAGAAAACAGCAGCCCTTAACTCTGTTGTGGACAGATTTCCCCTGACAAAAATTAAACTAGCTCCTACTTGGCACTTTATTATCTCTTCAACTGAATGATTTATTGTTTGTGGAGCCAAAGAACCAAAGCGAGAGGGGAAGATTACATTTCCAGGCAAAGCTCAAGCCTGATCTGGTGTTTTTTCTCCTTCTGTCCAGGAAAAAAGCTCACGACAAACAATAATGTCAGCTGTAATTGATCGGAGGTCGCCTGGCTCGGGCCCGCAGTAAAAAGCCGACTATTTAAGCGACAATCGGCCCGGGCGCTCCTTCAGACGCTGGCTAATGAAGCTGTCTGTCTGGGCTATTTACCTTCTCTTAAATGGAAGGGAGAGATGTACTGTAAGAGACAGAGGCTGCAGAGGATGTGCTGTGAAATAGGACCTGCACACATGCCGCAAGAATGTATAATTGGTTGGTGCGCCCGAAAGCTGGTGGATCCGGTGCTAATTAAATGACTTGTTTAAAGCCTATCCGTCTTTGTTTTGGAGGCTACGGCACAATGTGGGGGAATGCTGTTGTCAAACAAACATTTCTGGTTATTTGAATTGGACAAGGGCTGATTCGCTCTGCGCTAAGCCTTTCATGGTGGAGAGATGTTTTACCCTCCTCTGATCTGTCAAACTGAACAGGACTACGCAGTCAAGCAGCTAAACAGAATGAGACAACACCATGGAGTTTATGTCCTAATTGTAAAATGGTTCCTTTTGAGACACAAATGTGTTTGGCTGTAACTAACAAATATTTTGGTAATAGATCAATCGAGCATTTTTATAGAATTGACTTGTTGTTTAGTGACTTTTATCTAGTTTGAAGGTATTTTGGGAGATGTTTCTACCAACTAAAAATACAATGTGTACGGCGGTGGATCGCTGAGTCCAGTTAGCAGCTAATCACAAAGTTAGCAGCTAATCACAAAGTTAGGCAAAATCAGAAAGAACCGCGTTGGTCACTAAGACGGTGTGAAATACAGTAGAGGGCCAGCATAAAAACGAGGAGGTGGGTAATATCACCTGTAAGTGAAGCCACTGGAGAACATTGTCACAGATACTGAGACAAGTTATAATTAAAATAAAATCTTATATGTGTTGGAGTCTGCAGTAAAAATAGTTTTGATTAGTGATAGAATTCAATTAGTTGTACTTCATCTACTAATTGCCCCAGCCCTACAAATATGAAAAAAATAGCTTTTTTTCCAAATCATCCATAAAATGTAATATTCAAAGAATCATACGTAACTCTTCAAGATAATTCAAAACGGCAGAAAATCCTTTGAAAACACAGCTGTAGTAAAACAGTGGCCAGACAAACAGACTGAGTCACTACACAAAACAATCTGCGTCCTTTCTGCCTAATAGTTCTTGTAAAAAA